AAGAAAATTGCAGGGAGGGAAAAGCTTGTTCATGTCCAGACCGGAGAGTCCACACTGGCTGCTGCTTTAAGTTTGCTTTGAAGATGTAGCACATTGCTCTGCATGCTGAACGATAACAGCAATGGCCAGCTCTAATTAGTAGCCTTTCTAATAGCCCTGGAGCACTGGAAAAGAACAGGCTTAGAAAGGAACGGACGGAAGAGAAACCACATCTCGCTCCGATCAGTCTGGAGCCACATTCCTCACCTGGTCATCACCCTTAGGTGCAGGGCAATGAGGGGATGCAAGAAATCAACTGCTTGCTGCCAAGAATAGAGACGGGCCAGGCAGGCCCCTCAATACAGCACTGGAGGGAAGAGCCGTGTCGGTAAATAGAGCCCGGAGAGTCAGTAGAAGGAGAAGGGAGGCAGCTGCATCTTGCACAACACGGGGCCACCCCTTGTTTTCCAGGGAGTGCTAGGATTCAAACCGTGCCAGTCACACACCCCTTGCCAGCGGGGGCCAGCTTTAACAGAGCATGGACACAGCCGGCAGTTGCTGCCCTCCTTATCTCGACAGTACCTGGAGATAAGAGAGGAGAGGTGCCCAGGGGGGTTGCTGGCCCTGGTCAAGGTAGCTGCTGCCTCCTTAGAAACAGATTTCCTGCTCCCTCCTCCTACGTTCACCAAGAACCAGGCTCCGCCAATAAGTGAGGTCCATTCATTCTCCTTGATGGCAGCAGGAGCTGGGTCTGCGATCTGCCCCCTGCCAGCTGAGCGGGCAGCTTCAGGGCAGGGGTCCAGTGACAACTGCCCCGAGGCAGGATTTGCGTTGACATGATGCAGGCTGTAGATCCGCCCACCTCTGTGAGTGCAGCTCCAAAGGCTGGGTCTGGGGCACAGCAGTCCTGGACAGTGTGTAGCCCCTCGCAGAAAGGCACCCAGGTGGCAACTAAGATGAAGCAAATGGGGCATGAGGCCAGAGCCGTACAAAGCAATGCAAGAAGTGCCACAAGCCTGGGGAGTTATGAGGAGGGGTGGGGCAACTGGCCACAGGGAGGTCCGTGGATAAGCCCTATCCTGAGGGAATCCAGAGCTCACCAGGAAACCGGGCCCTCAAATGTGTCCTGGGCCCAGGCAAGTGATACATAGCAGAGTCACCGGAACAGGCTGCGTTTGCAACAGAGCTGGGAAGACAAAGCCAGTGTGCAGGTAGGTCAGAGCTTCCCTTCCCCTGCAGAGAGCTGTACCGGGACCAAGGAGCACCCTCTCCCTGAGAGCCGCAGCCTCGGGACACCGTGGCACCCCACAACTTTGAATGAAACCCGCTGGCTGCATCACTGGGACCGAAGCTGCCCGAGCCGAGGGCTGGAGCTGGGAGGGGTAGCTGGAGGGCAGGGAGGTTGGTAGGAAATACATCCCAGCAGGGTTTGCCAGGACCACAGCTCCCACCCATGCAGCCAGCGGCATGTCCAACTGCAGCCAGCGTCTGCTGCTTTGGAGGGAAGCAAAGCCCTGCCCTGTGGCATCCAGTTGACACCCTTCAGACCAGAAAGGCCCTTATTCCGGCCCCCACCTCCCACAGGCCCTTGCCTAGGCAAGGAGGAGTCAGTCCTGGCCTTGCCCTGCCCCATCAAAGCCAGAGGAAGTACCTTTCAAAACTCCCTACCCTACATACAGCGAGCCTAGCCCCATCACAGATGGTACCAGCCACACTTCACACTAAGGTCCCGTTTCTTTGTAGCTTTAGGTCCTTTCTAAATGGTCGGTCAGACCGTGCAGATCCCTGCCAGGTACGTTGCTTGTGGCCTTCCTGATGTGGCTGCTTGCTCCCTGCCCCACTCGCTTCTGCAACGCACGTGCAATACGGGTTTCTTTGCCAGCTGTTGACCCTTTGCATGAAGAGTGACTGAAGTATTGTGGAAATAGCTCTGGAAGTATTGTGGAAAGGCTACAGGGATTGGGTCAAGTGTCACTCCCCTGGGGCTTCCCCTCCTGGGGCTGGAGGTGCCGTCTCGTGGTACCTCGAACCCAGCGCTACAAGGCACTTGGGCAACAGGCGAACAACCTGACATCCTCCCAGCTTGAAAGGGCCCCTCACATGTACGTGTGCACAGACTGGCAACACTTGTGCATTTCTCCTTGCTCCTCTACCCCGCCTCCCATTCCCTATGTCCTCATTTGTGCCGCACTTAAAAGACGTTCAATAAAAAGGGCAGTAGCCAAGGGACGGTGGAGGCTGGATCTCTCCCCCACATACAACAGCACAACCTTATCCAGCCCTTCAAAGACATCTCA